TACTACTAAATAACTAAAACAACCATGTTTTTTAAAGGTATTCAGTGCGTAAAATCCCAGGACGCATATGTGCGTCGCCCGGACCCAAAGGGTTAAAGAAAAGCTCATAACTTTTGTCATCTTTAATGTAGATGGAATATTATATTATCAAACACAATGGATATCTTAACATGCAACAGTCATGTAGGACAAAAATTTTAGAGCACTAAAAATATTTATAATAAACAAACAAACTATAGATAAGACTGACTAGTCTCAAAAATAGTTTTAGGATAATTCGCCTTGGACAATTAGTCGCAGGAATATTGGTTGCACGAACAATTTGTTCTATGACATATTAGTCTTAAATTAGAGTGTGGATAAGAGTCAAGGTTTAGGGAGAATATTGATGAGGATACACAAAAGATTCTCACTCACACTACATCCAAACGCTTGAGGTGAATATTTCTATGACGGATTTTTGCGGTATCTATCAGTGAACTCTGAATATATTATATTTAATTATATTTGTATTCTATAGTTGTGGCTGCTGATGGTTTTACCTATGAACGAGAAGCAATTCTTAATTGGTTTAAGGATTCTAATCGTAGTCCAATGACAAATCAAGAACTTGAAAATAAAGAACTAAAACCAAATCATGCTGTCAAATCAATTTTACAATCATTTTGTGATTCAAAAAAGAACGAAAAAAAACTCGATGAAAAACCACCAAAAAATGGTGATAATGCTGAATAAGTGTTTGTTTTTCGGACTTAATATATATTCTTCAATCTTTTGCGTTTTTATTATTTTATAAATATAGACAATCTATTTGTTTCGTCTATTAATGAAGCAATATTCTTCTTCTTACTATAATAATATAATTATACACTTCTTCAAATTATCTGTCTTTAGATATTATAAATTTTTCTATTCAATAACTCATGGATAATGTACTATCACTACAGGAAGCAGTTAGTAGTGCGAAAAATTTCAAAAATTTTGAAGAAGTTCTTATGACAATTCATTTTCATCCTGAATGGTTAACAATGATTCCAGACGATCGACGATGGGCGATTCTTCATCATATTGTTTTTTCGGATAATGTTAATCATCTTGATCGAGTACTTGCAACACAAAAATCAAATAAGAATTTTCGTTTATTGAGTAAAACAGCTGACAATGACACTGTACTTGATATTGCTAAATCACGTGATGATTTATTTGATATGTTAAAACGTATTGAACGATTAGTTAAACTTGATGAATTGCTTAATGATGCTGAAAAAGGTAATTGGAATAAATGCTATGAAATTGTTAAAGAAGATCCAATGCTTGCTAATGAAAAACCACCTTATCGACAATTTTATTTGATTCATTATCTAGCTTATGCTGATGAAATCGAGCAATTTAAAAAATTTCAAGAGATCAATATGTTTCAATTTGATCTAACTTTACGAGTTGATCGTAAGAAAACCAATGATATTGCTCGAGAAGGTAAAGGTGAAAGATTTGCTCAATATATTGAAAAACAGTATCCAACATTGTTTAATGCTGATAATACCGATGATAAATTATATGAACCATCAGAACAAGCCAAAAAACATACGAATAATATAAATAGTCTTATAGAACAACGTCATACATATGCTGAACCGGATTTTTCTTTTGGTCCAGCAAAAAATCTTCTAACTCGAAAAGAAGCCGATAAAAAAGTCAAACCAAAACCTAAACCACCACCACCAACAACAACAACTGATGCAAATAAGCCTCTCCAACAACCTATGGAGGCTGTGCTTAGTTTTCTTACTTGTTCTCTTACACATGCTATCGTTAACGATCCTGGTAAGTAACATAATCAATTCAATAATGTATGACAAGTAATGAATCCTTTTTATTTAATGATATTATGAAGATAGTCGATTACTAAGCAGCTGATAACGTAGTCAAAAATAACTATTATCTTATCGCGTATATGTAATGATTTTATTTTTTCAAGCAACTGGTTTATGTATACCCGCCCCCCTCCCCAAAATTGAACGTCACCCTATAATAGAAAGGTACCCGGAATAGAAGGCCACCCCGGAGCGTTTGATTCTCTGGACATAATATAACGCCATACCAATTTCAAGGAAAAATGTGAAAAAAATTCCGACAAGACATAATATAACGCCACCAAAAAAAGACCGATTCACTGGGACATAATAGAAGGCCATGCCTTTTTATTCTGAGGGGGGGGGGTTAGACCATTAGTAAACTTCACTAACCGATCGATTACAAAATTTTGGATATTATTGACAGAATCGCACAAATTTGTCGATTATCTCACCAATCTCTTCCAGCTCTTATCCTAATGCGTGCATGATGCTTCTCTGTTTACAAGGTTTATTGGCATGCTTCATATCAGACTTTCTCCTTATCAGTTTCCCTAGTGTTTCGTGATGTATGAACAGAAACAAAAAAAAAACGATTTCTGAAACTATCTTCACGGTGTGAATATCGATAAATAGCACGTCCACATACCCTGAAATCATGCATATAATACTTCGAACTAATGCCTAAGATAGAGTTTAAATTTCTATCTTAGAAGTACATTAAGAATGAATCTAACGTGAAACATGAACAAATCATTTACTCGTTAATTGATAATCGTTATTTGGTATCAACTAAAGATTAGAAAAATTGAATAGAACACTGATTCGTAATTTGTGTGATTGATGCTTTCGTCAGAACTAATTGGTCGAGGATCTGCATTGAAAATAATCTATTATAAAGAATTTATAAATAATTGATTAAGCAACAATTTTAATTAAAAAAAACTTATTAATTTTTTTAAAGATAATTCTGAAAAGAACAGAATTATTCATGTATGCTAGATCATAAATATTTGATTAGTCTACATAAAGAGTTTATAAAACAAGTGCATTACTTTAATATAACAAATAGTAACATAAGTTAATTGCAATTCTAGATTCATATCACATATTGTGTATTTATTTTAAATTCTCTTTTCTTTTTGACGAAAAATATTTCTAATATCGAATTCAATACCATTATTATGCAAAAACAGACGTAAACAAAAACAACACTGACGAATTTATGGTAAACGATAAGGAATTATTGATACAAACCAATTATAGTTCTAAATAAATTCTCCGATTTCTTAATCGAAATTAGGTATATATTTGATATATCTTTCATATGATGGTAATTGGAAAAGCTATCTATTGATAGATTTACTATTATTCATTTTAAACTGACTTATGGTTCAATATGCTGTGTTGCTTCATCTGATGTCCATTTCGAAAATCGAAGGATTTGTGAATTGGAAAATAATGAAATAATGTTTTTGTAGGCAGGAAAGGTGATCCATCTAGGTTTTAAAATATACACTGATAGTGATTGTGTCATCTCTCGCTTCTATTTCATTTTGCTGATCTCAGTAGATAACAAGATTTTAGCTACGGAATATCGCAAGAGAGATTCTTTGTTTCAAATGATCTGGAAAACTTATATCAAAGAAAGTTGAGGATATAATTGATAGATGCTTCAGAAAAAGTAAAATATTCACTTGTCTATTCTCGAATGAACTATTCGACATATTATACTAAGTAAAACATTGAACTTTAGTAAAATAACTGAGTGGAGTATTGTCATTCTTTTTAATAATCAAGATGCAAATCTAAATATAGAAAATCTTATTATTAACAATTTTTACAGAGTTAGATTTTGATAGCATTAGACAAGGATAATTGTGAGATTGAAGAAGTATTAAGATTATAAAACACTTAATAAAGGAGTTTATAGTAATAAAGAGATTAAAATTTTCTTGAGAGAATATCATTCCGAAGTAAAGCATCACATTTTTTTGAAAAAAAACAACCGTTTTTCAATATTCAGTTCAATTTAATGCTCTTCAATATGATTAAGGTTTAATTTATAATGATCTATTTGTCGTCCCAATTCTCATTAATTATGTTTATAATGAGTAAAATCCGTTTTTAATTATCTTATTAATATTCTATTAAAAACTAATTAATACTTACTGAGTAGAATCTGAGTCTTAGTTCGAAGATTATGTTGTTTTCCTACCTAAAAGTGTGTAGATGATAGACTATTTCTCAACTGAAATAAGAGATGTATCCATACATATATTTAATAATCGATTAGTAGTTAATGATGAATCCGTGTAATATATGAAAGAATAATATTTCACATGAAAAGTAAGATCCATAGCGGCAGTTTAAAAAAAACATTGCGGCGCCAACACCGCAAGTTTCCAACCGTGATGAACATTTCTGGTAGTAAGAATGCTAATTTATACAACTTTAATTTAACACACCCTAAGTAACAATAGATATTTGCCGGCATTATTGTTCATCATTGTTTTATACAATTAGACGCCAATGCCTGTGACCTAATTTTTTTTGTGTGTATTCTATCCATCTGCTTTTTTAAATAATACAATAGACAATCAATAAAGAGCGAAGCAGACTTGTTCGACTGTCTGCACGTAAAAATTTCGTTTTCTCATTGATCAATGTACGTTAACAACGGTAAAATCGGCATATGTTTGCGGAAGAAACTCATCATATAAGTCACGTCTTCTTTTCAAAAAGTGAAAGGATACTATAAAAAATAAAATAGTTTGTTATTCATCGCATAACCCATGTAAATATGGAGTGAGAGTGAGAGTGTGTTTGTTAATGTAGATAAAACCCATACCCTTCAGACGTAGTTTTCTTCAAAATTTTAGCCGCAGAAGAATCACAGACGAAATTAATTGAAAAGAACCAAAGTTAGAATAGCAATCGAGTTTTGATGAAAAACATTTTTGCAAGAAAGTCTATGTTTTTTCAGTTAATTTCTTATACTGAATTCCAACAATATATTTGCTTTCCTTAATTTTTTAATTTTTGATGATTAACATTATCAAACATGAAAGAATGAATTTTTCTTTTGCCGTTTTTATCGAAAAAAGATTGTTTTTCTCAGTGGAGAATCAAAGCACAATAAAAAGCCAGAAAATATTTTAATCTGAAAATGTCACTTCCTTTTGGAACCCTGGTGATACCATTTGTCGACAGTAGCCACGATTCAAAATGTGTTATCATTATATCATATCGAAGCAATCATAGAGATTACTTTTTCTTAGTCAATTTTGTATCACGACATGAAAGAAAAAATTATTTCTCTAGTTGCATAGAACGAAACAAATCTTTGATTCGTAAGTGCATGAAAGATTGATAATTTTTTATAATGCAATATAAGCTTCAAGATCTTTCTAAAGTAGTTTTTTCGAGAAGGTTACTCTAAAAAAAATCGAAATTACAGCACTTGACCAGATTTAACAAAATTTTCTGAAGTCGATCAACGAAATGCATATGTAGTTATAAACAAAATATGAATCTTTATAGTTAACATTTTTTAATAGAAAATATTTATGTTCAAGGCTTGGTTCAGACATCTTCTATTAAAAAATTGTATGTAAAAGATTGCAATTAGTTCGCTTATAAGTATATGGGGTGAGAGAGAGAAAGTGTCTCTACCAGATGCATAATTCAATAATAGAAAAAAACATGAAACGGCTCATATTTCGTCGATGATATTCAGACAACTTTTTGGATCCGAAAATTCTTTAATACGTACTACAAATAAATTGTTTATATGAAATAATAAAACAAAGTTCGTAAAAGTTTGAAATAAAGTTTAGTCTCAAGATCTTTTCACTGTAGTTCAATGCTAGAATCAACTGATTGTATCTGCATGTTTGGATGAACTTGATTTTCATTGCAAGAAAACCATCGTTTCAATTGTTGCCAACATTTTCTTACCAAAACATACTTTACTTGACGACGAAATCGTGCTGAAGATGCCATAAATATATAAAACGATGCCTAAGCAAAAATACATTAAATAAATGACACAAAAAAAAGTATCAGTTAGAAAATTATTACCACATAATTTACATTAAATAGCGAACTTATGACTCCTCCCACTAGACTATTAATTGCAAATAGATAAAGATTTGATTGATCAATTTTTGCAAGATATGTATACATTCTTTGAATAGCATAAGGCAATGTTAATATAACAAATGCAATAATACGAACAAGGACCATTGCTGTCAATTGTCGATCAAGTCGTCGGCGAGCTATTGGTATTTGTCGTCGAACGATTCGTCGAACATTTCGATATGCTAATATACTAAATAATGACGCTATGAAAATTGGCAGAAGTCCAGATAAAATTGGATAATAGAAATATGTCAGATAACGAGACATCATTGGATTAAAAACACTACAGAAAGAAGCTCGAATTTCAATAAATATACAAAATGGAATAGTATGTAATATTGAAATAACAATTGCTATAAATATTAGAATTTTAGCTAATTTAATTGTACTCAATTTTCTTAAATTGAACTCAAGACTTGTTGAAAAATATTGATCACAAGCAGAAAAACATATTGCAGAAAACGAAATTAATGTATATAATGCAATCATCATGGCACGAAATTTACACCAGAAAATGGATGAATTTGCTGGATCAATATCATTTAATGCTATTAATAAGCGTATAAGAAAAAATGTTATTATTTGACATATATTGGAAATTGCTTCGGTTACAAAATACAAAACGCATTGATTATTTCGAAAGACTTTGAAACTAGTAAAAATAAAAATATTAAGAAAATTTCCAATTATTCCCGTCATAAGTATAATGTAACTAGTATAGAGTATATATTTTTGACTAATATGAAGAATATATACAACCGTTGAAGAAGTCATAATGATTCTATTAAGATGTTCTTTCTTACTGAAGATTTTTTTCTCATTCATTCATTCATTTTTTCTTTCTTCTGGAAAAAAAAATTTTACTTAGTATCTTTTCCTTTACAGCTCTAAGGGAAAGTCATGCTTATTCAGAGAAATAGCAAAATTTGTTTTCACTGTTAAATTAATATTCTCCTACGTAAGATAGATTCACTGGATGAACTATCATTCCTTTTTGTTTATTTTAATGCACATGAATAGGATTTTGTTGAACCGTTCATCTTATAAGAA